TATATATATATATATATATATATATATGAGTGTTTTCAGCATGTTTCAAATCGACACGTCCTTTCCGACATCACAACTTGACAACTTGCGTATCATCTAGAATTCCAAGTTTCCCACTTGTAAAAACAACTTCACTTTGCCATTCATTTGCTTGGAACTCATAATTACGATATTTCTAGCTCCACTCAAAGGGCACAGAAGTCTTCAGGATTACTAGAAAATTGCAACCATGTTTGCAACTAAACTCTGCAGGACAGTGACCATCCAGAACCGGAATTGCAATTTACTGGTTTACATTCACCAATCCATTCAATCCATATTGGACTATAAGCTAGTTAAGACAAGAATATATACAATACATTTTTTCATATTTTCCTGAGGCTGATCACCCCATTTCTTGTTTAGTTCTGAAAGAACATCCAAACTAAAGGCCGATTTTTGTTTGCTGCTCAATAGTTCAGACCTTTGTAATATACCAATGTTATTAATATCTGAACTTGTTCTTGCTTTAAATCTAGATGTGGCAATGTAAACTGGGCCAGAAGATCAGAGTGCAACATGTGTAACACTCCTAAATATGCCAAACTGGAGGAAAGGACAGGTGTATATATATATTTTTTTTTTTTTTTTTGTTGTTTTTATTGCATATGGACTGCAAAGTTATGAATTTTTAGTTAATGTCATATTATGGATGAATGTCTCTAACAGGATATGGTGGAGGGTTCAATGAGAGAGAGAATTTAGTCTACAATGAGCGAGAGGAGTCTGATGGCGAGTACGATGAAGTCAGTGGGGATTTTTTTTTTTTTTCAATGCACACAAATGACAGTTCTTGATATTAAGATGAAGATCAGATTTATTCCATTTGTATAGCACTTTTCACAATACATACTAACAGATAAACTTGAATTTTAACAATTATTTTGTTTGTCTTATGGACAGTTTGGGCGCATAAAAAAGAAGTATCGTGGAAAAAGCAAGAAGCACACTGAAAAAAAAGAGGAACCAAAAAAAAAAAAAGATGATGATGATGATGATGACGACGACGATGATGAAGATGGAGATCTTTCAAAATACAAAGTTGATGTAAGATTATATTCTCTAGTTTTGTGTTAGTGGTCCTACAATTTGTTGCTGTTTGAAATGAATTTTATTAGCTAAAGTAGCAATGCTGTCGATTGTAAATTGATTGCAACAGTCAGTCATAAAGATCGGATATGAAAAATTAATTGTAATAGGGTGCAGTGTGAACAAATCCTTCGAGCTTCTACAGATAATTGAACTTATCACAGTTTTTGGTGTCTTTTTGTTCTTTATGCTATTAGGATGATGATGAGGATGAAGCAGATTTGTCCAAGTACGATTTGGATGCTAGTGAGGAGAAGAAAGGGAGTCGCTCCGGCTCCTCACGGTCATCATCTCGCTCGTCCAGTTCAAGTTCCCGGTCTAGGTCCAGGTAAAAGGGTACAGGTCAAGGGTAACTCCAGGCAAATGTCAGTATCAGCTCAAATCGTTTTAATGTTGAATTTTTTTTATCTTTACCTCTTTGCCTCCTTTAGTGTTTTTAAAAATATTTTGTCTTTTTCCAATTGCCTTTTGATTGACAGTATAAAACTTGATGTTCTTTAATGAAAGTGATTGTCAATTCATTGTTGTTCAATTCATGCCATCAACACAACTTGAAAGTGTTTTAAAGCCTTTTAAAAGGCCTAAGCTGATCTTTTTAACACTTATCGTTTGATAATCAATTTTCTTGGGTTTTCATCAGCGGGTCTTTAACTTTATTGGAAAAAATTTGTGGTGTGTTTGTTTTTTTTTGTTTTGTTTTTTTGTCTTGTTTGTTTGTTTTTTTTTGTTTTTTGGGATGTCGGTGTTTAGCAGATCCCGGTCCAGGAGCTCATCCAGTTCCAGATCTCGCTCTCGCTCCAGGTCCAACTCCAGGTGAATGAGGTGACATGCACTCTCCAGGAAAGAGTGTGTATGAACAGCCAGTGCTTGTAATGAACTCTTTGTCCTAAGTCTTGGAACAGAAGTCGATTTTTGATCACCGTAAAACAAATGATTAATAAAATGAGGGTGACGTGGGGAGCAGTGAGATGTAGCTTTTTGGGAATGTTTGAACAGGATTTTTTGACTTTTTGTTCTCAGCATAGATGTCAAGAGCTTTCTTGTGCTTTTAGAAAATGTTGCTCTTTTGGAGCTGTTATTCATTATTCAGTGTCCCAGATCTCAATTTATCTGGTAACACCTAACAGGCAATTAGAGCTGTAAGTTGTACTGACCGATTCAGCTTTGTTCTGCTGAAAGTTCAGTTGGTCAGACATGCAGTTTTGGTCTTTTTCAGAAGTTGTGGATATATACTGTAGTATTTCGGGAGATGTGGGTGGATGTTTTCCTCCCATGTCAGTCCCTTTGATAATGTTATATTATAGTAATCTGTGTAATGATATTTGTTGACCTCATGTGAATGCTTATTTTATCCCCTTTGAAAGATCCAGCTCCAGATCAGGAAAGGGCTCTGCTTCCTCAAATAAGAGGTCTCGCTCCCCTTCGTCATCGCCTGAGGGAGGCCAGAAGAGGAGTTGTTCCAGGTCCTCCTCTGGTGGCCGCAAAAAAAGACGCGCACGATCGCACTCGTCTGAAAGGTTTGGTGTAACACATGGTGGCCTGGATACCAGGCGTCCTTCTGCATTATACACAGGGCTCCGTGATAACAATACATTTTTGAAACAATGTGACAAAATTGTGCTTTTCTCTGTACAGTACATTTTTTATGCTTTGTTTTGATTTCAAGAACCAAATCTTTTAATCGGTCATGGTCTTTCTCTTTGTCTCTTTCTATCTCTTTGTAGGTGCAGAGGCTCATCTGGATCATCCCACTCTGGCTCAAGCTCAAAACAGAAATGATTAACAAAAAAAACAAATCTTTCTAGAACTGCATGTTTTTTTTTGTTTTTTTTGTTTTGATTTTTAAACTCCAGTTTTTTGGGGCTATTGCAACTACTCAAACTGTTTGAATTCACATTGATTTCTATGAAAAAAATACTTGCGCACTTGTTCACATAACCTCTTCTCGAAAGTTTTCTGCCTTTTTTATTTTTTTTATATAACATCTAGCCAGATCTCTTAACAGTATAACTCGAGGTGTATAGTCTGTAGTGTCAGTGGGTTTATAGAGAAATAACATCAAGTCTGTGACTGATTGGCACATATCTTCTGGACATCAACCATTTTGATGGGAAATTATGCAAATTACATTGCAGAAATAGTTGTATTCATCTATTGTCAGACATTATTGCCATCAGAACAACCAGTTCATTAACAAAACATTTGTTAATTTAAAAAAAAAAATACTTGGATGCTGGTTTTATGGTTCTTGTATATGAAACACCTCACAAGCAATGTTGATGGCGTAACCACGTCAAGCAATGCCAGCATCTAATAGAGAGCCTCTGAGGTGTAACATTGTCTTGTCTAATTGTGCATTAAAGGTAAGTATGTTTTTTTTTCTATGCTTGTAGAGATTTCTTTTCTTCTGGAAAGACAGATGAAATGTGAAATTTTTGTGTTCTTTTTGTCAGTATTTTTGTTTTCGTTCTTAATTTTATGATTCATCATTTGTGGAACTAAGAAACTATAGACAAACTCAAATTACTGATAAAATAAATTACTGATTTGGTTTTCTCTTCTGTGTTCAAATCAAATTTGGGACGTGTGAAATAATCACACCCACCCACCACCCCCTTCTAACATACAAAATATGAAAATGTTTTACTGTTCATTATAATTACATATGTGTAACCAACATATGAATAAACACCTGTTAATCTGAAACATTTGTTGCACTGTATTTGTCTTTCCAAGTTGCTGCATTGCGTGAGGCCTTGTTTGAGATTTCTTCCCCCAAATGTGCTGCTTGATTATCTCTGCGTTTTTAAACAGACTTTTTTTTTTTACTGGATTACTGCAAGCAAAACCGGTGAAGGCTGATGTTAGATTCCGCACTGCTGCTTGTGGGGAAATCTAGTGATGTTTGTAAAATTATACATTAATCTGAAGCATTTGTTCAGTTTGTTTCTTTCCATGTCTATTTTATGAAGTAACATTTTATGAGTCGTGTATTAGCAAAATGACACCTTTACTGCATACACTGATAAGGTTTGAAATGATCGTTTCTCGTGCGCTAGGTGGCACTTGTTGCGTTCCAAACCATCTGTGAGCTGGTGGTGTGGAGGATTATCATTGAATAAAACTTGAACCATTATTATTTATCCCTTCTTTGGAAATTTGACTATCACAAAAATAATTCGTGTTTTGCTTTCGCCTTTAGCGATAATTTAGTTAATCCTATCTGTCAAAAAAATAAACCGTACACCCGCTGAAAGTTGGTTCAGTTCAAAAAGTTCAATTTATAACAATGTTTTCAGTATTTCTCAGAGGGCGGGCTTCAAGTATAACTCGTTTGAAGTAATGGTGCTTCATATAACATTATCCAGAGAAGCACATGTTAATGATAGATCCCCTGTGATGTTTGTACTGGCTACAGTATACAGGCCACCAGGGCATCATACAGACTTTATTAAAGAATGTGCTGATTTTATATCCGAGTTAGTGCTGGCTGCAGATAAAGTTTTAATTGTTGGTGATTTTAATATCCATGTTGATAATGAAAAAGATGCATTGGGATCAGCATTCATAGACATTCTGAACTCTATTGGGGTTAGACAACATGTCTCAGGACCTACTCATTGTCGAAATCATACTCTAGATTTAATACTGTCACATGGAATTGATGTTGATGGTGTTGAAATTATGCAGCCAAGCGATGATATCTCAGATCATTATTTAGTCTTGTGCAAACTTCATATAGCTAAAACTGTAAATTCTAATCCTTGTTACAAGTATGGTAGAACCATCACTTCTACCACAAAAGACTGCTTTGTAAGTAATCTTCCTGATTTATCCCAATTCCTTAGCATTTCCAAAACCTCAGAACAACTTGATGATGTAACAGAAACTATGGACTCTCTCTTTTCTAGCATTTTAGATACAGTTGCTCCTTTACGCTTAAGGACGCTTAAGGAAAAACAGTCTGACACCGTGGTATAATGAGCACACTCGCACCCTAAATAGAGCAGCCCGGACAGCCCGGAACAGCTGGAGGAAAACAAAACTAGAGGTATTTCGTATTGCTTGGCGGGAAAGTAACCTATCCTACAGAAAAGCATTAAAAACTGCTAGATCTGATTACTTTTCTTCTCTTTTAGAAGAAAACAAACATAACCCCAAGTATTTATTCAATACAGTGGCTAAACTAACGAAAAATAAAGCATCAACAGGCGTTGACATTTCCCAACAGCACAGCAGTGATGACTTTATGAACTACTTTACTTCTAAAATCGATACTATTAGAGATAAAATTGTAACCATGCAGACGTCAGCTATAGTATCACATCAGATAGCTTGCTATAGATCGCCTGAGGAACAATTCCACTCATTCTCTACTATAGGAGAGGAAGAATTGTATAAACTTGTTAAATCATCTAAACCAACAACATGTATGTTAGACCCTATTCCATCTAAGCTCCTAAAAGAGGTGCTTCCAGAAGTCATAGATCCTCTTCTGACTATTATTAATTCATCATTGCCAT